TATCAATGATTTTAACTTTATCGATTCCCCTCCATATTCGATTATATTGATCTTAAACTTGGCAAGATCTAGTTTGGATGCCATATCGAAATGAAGGCCATTTTCTGGATCTTTGAGCTTGAGTATCCAGGTCTGTGAAGTTTTCTGAATACAGGCAACTGAGGCCTGAATCGCTTCATAAACTTCAGCACGAGAGAATTTTTTACCTGAAGTACACATACGCAGTAGATCACCCCATACAAAATGATCATTAGGATCTGATATTCTAGATCGGTCTAGTTTTGTAGGACTTGGAAGCTTCTGTTCTCGATCTAAGGCAGTTTCGCTAATAGTAAGTTTTTTCGAAGGCTTTCCGGAGCGGGGTTGCCTATCTTGGTTTGCTTGGTAGCAGAAAAAGCTGTATGATTTTTTATTTCGTATTATATAGCCATTATCACTATCATGTTCTCGGTCACATATTGGACAGTGTGATGGAGAGATGCGTGATAGTGGAAATTTGTCAGGAAAATTTTCAGATGGATATGAAAGACTATACCCTTCGATACTAGCTTCTTGAAGTAATGTCTCTACTAGTTCGAATTCAGCTACAGTTGTCTCATTACTTATGCTAACATATTTTACGCTTTCCATCTCTGGAAGAGCTAAGAGAGGACTATTCTCAATGACTTCTGATTCATCGTTGGGTGGGCGGATCATGAAGTCAAAGATTGTTCCATCTTTGGGATGCATTGGTTTTTTCACACGAACATGCTCCTTTGTTTTTTTATCATACTTAGGCGAACCAAGCATTCGCAAGGAAAATGAACGCTTATTCGCAATATTATCTATAATACTATTTCCTTGAAGTGACGCTAGAAGTTTCTTACGAACAAGTTCAGTGAATACTGCAACCTGAGCGATGCTTGGAAGTCTCATACCAAAAGTTGAGACATGGAGAGATATTTTTTTCGCATCACTACTATCGGCAATGGATATAGTTTTTTTATCCCATTTTGGGAATATTTTTAGACAGACATCTCTAAAAGCATTGCAAAGTATGTTTTTAGCCTGTTTGTCTGATAGCTTAGGTGAAATAGCATTTAGTGTTTCTATTGGCAAATCGAAATCTATGATAGGATGGAGTGGTTCATCACCATCAATGATTTCATATAAGGAATGACCCTCACGATCTGATAGTATGGCTTCTATTTCATCTGCATTGTCTGCGCCAAGGAAATGTCTTGGTTTAACACTATCATCACGAATTTTATATAGAGATGCACTTATATCAGAAGCTTTAAAACCTTGTTTATACGGGGCGGGGGCGTCGAGGAACTCTGATTGGGACATGTATTATATAACAAATATACAGTTCAAGAGAAAGTATATATTTTGGGAGAAAAATGTTCAAAATGAAAATTAATTCTGAAATATATAAATCGATACATAATCGAACTATTCATAGTTATTAAAAATGGTATTTTATCGATGTACTTATATTCACAGGAGTGGTGAGATTTGCAATCGGGGATGTTACCATCCAAAAGGATGTCATATTCATCGTAATTCTCCTTCTCAGGTACCTTGCAATGAATATGGATGCAATAAATTAACTTATGGTGGATATGGATTTTGCGATATTCATGCTAGAAAGCACTGTAAAAGGGAACAATACTATCAGAAAAAGCTGGCTGACTTGGCTTCAATGCAGGAAGTGGTAGGTAAATAGATGAAAATAGAAGCAATGCAAAATAATACAACTTAGTATGAGTGTCACCAGAAAAAAAAAACTGGTGACAGAAGCCAGTGACGTAGACGATAGGCTCTTTAGGAATTCTAAGCTGAAAGAAAGTCTTCTTGATGGATGTCACTGGTGTCAATAGCGTCACTGGAAAAAATTCGAGTCTCTTAACTTTTTTTATTTTTTATAGCATCTATACACCACATATATATCATACATATACTATATAAACTATACATATATATCATATATATATCATAGGAAAATTACGTTTTTTTTTTAGAATTTATTACTCTTTTACTAGTGACTCTAGTGACAGTAATCAAGAAAGAAATGAAATATCCTAAT